GAAATAGTTGAGAACAAACTGAATATCTTGCACGACAAAAAACAAACTGTTCTCAGCCACACAAGTCCAGTTTAAAAATAGACCCAAAGTGAGGGGAATTTGACATTTCACACTTTCTTCCTGTTAAACATGGACCAAACTCCTCTTCCTGAAAGTAGAGCAGAAACTGAAGAGGCTCCAAGTATGGAATTGAGAAGGAGCAGAAGGTGGATTAATGTTTAAGCATGTCTGATTCATGTGATGGTAATGCCTCCGCCAATGCCATGAACACAGAAACTCCCCTAATAAGGAAACTATGTTTTGCATGTCCACCTGCAGACACATGCAGACATACACCCTGGTGTCAAGTGATAAGAATGCCACCACCCTCCTTCCTCTTCACATGGGGTATCAACTCAGCTGTTCATCAAATTCTTTCTCCTTGATTCGACTCTTTCTCATCCAGAGCCTTAAATGATCTCCACTTCTCAGCCAAAGAGAGAACGAGTGAGAGAGTAAGTGCTGGATCGATGTAATGAAGTACCTGTTCATTGATAAAGTAAACATCAGACATGCAGAGCTTGTTTGATTATCTGAGAGGCTCTCAGTCCTGCACACCACAGCTCTCAACTTACACCTCATTGAACAAAGCCTGTTTGCTCAGAGGGACAAATTAACTATTTAATGTTTCACAGGGAAATAAACTCTGCCATCTGATACCAAAGTACAGAACGTGACCTTCACTGAAGGTCAAACACAAGTGACAATGAAAAATACAAGGAAACAATCTCGGGTGGTTTGATGGGATTATTTTGAATTGTTTTTTTAACCATATGTCAATTTTGCTCCATTTAATTGTGTTCAAACAAGAGTTTAGTACACAAGAATCAAAGTAAATCAAAACTGTCTAAAAATGATAAGATATGTGCATTTACTTTGCAACACCACCCTGCCATAAGGATGAGAGACATAGAGGTTTTACCATCTAAGCTTATATATTCCTGGGAGACTGGCCAGGTACTCTCAAGTGCAACAAAAGCCCACCAGTGACCTTTAGGGAGACAAACAGACCCAACAAAAAAGGGGCCAAAATGTGGGCCAAGTGGTCCTGTTAAAAATGCAACTGAAAAGCCCTTGTGTATAATGTCCCACAGCACTGCCAAGAATTTTACTGAATTAGAAAAGAAAATCTTGATTTCACAAGGATTTGCTCAGACTCGTGGTCTTTCTTAAAAACTGGTTCTATTGTCACATGGTGTCTGTTGCACAGGACAGATAAGACACTTCCTCAAGATTAGACACCACAAAAATGAAATCTAATCTAACAAAGCATTACTTTGATACTCTTGGACCTATCATATTTTCTGATCTCTCGTATAGAAGTGCAAACTTGGCTCCAAATTGAAGTAATTTGACTAAAACATCCATTTCTAAAGTTTCAGTGAAACAGCAGGGAGTCATTCAATGCTGCATCTTTAAGGGTTTGATCAAATCAGGAAGTTAGAGAGAGACTGTTTTGGAATCAAAAAGTGATAAATAAGAAACCCAAATACTATAAAAGATGTCAGGTTCTTTCCCCCCATAACTCACCATCTGTTTTCTCATATTGTGCACTTTTATCACTATTTAAGACAAAACACGCAACCTCTTTTGAAATCCCTGAGGTGCTTCTGCTCTTGTAGCTAGTTTCGTTGACATGTCTTTATCTGGGAAGGTAAAAGACAAAACATAAAGACTTACGATAAACTCCAGACAAGCGTTAACTTTCACTTTCAGTTGTCAAGCATGAACTTGTAGGGCTGTGTGTGGACCTTCCAGTCATTTAAAATGTCATATTTTGCCTATCAGTGTGAAAATCTAAACAAAACCAGCTCTGAAATTTTACATGAACCCATAAAATGTATCATCAGTTTTCTGCTTCCCTATGGTTCTCTCGGTTAGGATGGATTAACAAAGCATTAGTAGCAGCAGGTTCATTGACAGCAACAGTGGCATGTGCACAAAGATAAACTATTTTTTGAAGCTTTGAATCTAGTTTGTTTAGGGAAAGTCCTGTGTTTGTGTGACTCATCTGTCAAACCAGTTAGACTCTGACACTTTTTACCTGAAGACCTGATGTCACATTTGTGGTCTTGTTTATCGATCGTAATCAGATTTGATGACTTTATTAACTGTAGTGACGTTGACTGGATAGATATTTCTTCATGTAAAAGAAATATCTTTTTAAAACACGTTCACAATTACATACAAAAACAGTGCATTAAAAGTAAAAAAAAAAAGATTTTGCAGAAATGTCTCTCAAGATATGGGTCAAAAGGATATCCTGAAACACAACCAATGTATCAAATTGCAAAAATGTTTCAGGAAACACAAGAACAGTTCTGTACACTCCAAGAAGATTTTACTCAAGGAAAAAATCTCTCTAATCTTTTAATTTTTTATGCCTTATTTATTTATTTTATTTATTCATTTATTTATTATTATTATTATTATTATTATTTTTTTTTTTTTTTTTTTGGGGGGGGGTCAATTCCTTTTATTTAATTGAATTTTGTAAATTTATTAGCTTTTTAATTCAAGCATTTTTTATATACATTTTTTGGTATACTTTTGACCTTTGAAAGATGATATATGTTTTTATTTATTTATTTTTGAATTTTGTAAAATATTTTTTCTTGTGTGATTTTATTATTTATTGTAAGCATTTTTCATTCTTTGGAATACACTATTTATTTATTTATTTCTTAGGGATGGGTGTGCCCTTCTTAATAATTTTTTTGGAACACTTTTTTTGGCATTTTGTTGGTTTTTTTATTTCCATTTTTTTGTCCTTTAAAAAAATTCTTAAGCTCTCTCAAATGTATTTACAGTTTTTTTTTGTGTTTCTTTTGCCTTTTCTTGAGTGACTTTGTGATTTTCTGAAATATGTTCAAATGTGAAATACAAGTAATTTAATTCATCTCAATTTTTTCATGTTTGGTGAATTTTTCCTCTATTTTTTTATATTTGTGACTTTGACAAAATGTTACAATGTTCCAGTAAAAATCTACAAACTAAAAACTGTTTTTTTTAAACATACTTCAGAGACATCTCTGAAAAAAGGAAACGCTCTTTATCTCATCCAGAAGGCTGCAGTCACTAAGTCTGAGGGCACAGCATTAATGGGAAAAGGTGTGTTCACGTTTACTGGAAGAATTCAGGTCAAGGATTCCTCTTCTCAAAAAAAGTGTGTGAGACACGATGGGGCGCTTACTGGGCGGGGGGTTTTCAGATCTGGCACTATGTTCCAAACAATTGTTTAATATTTGTTGTACTAAAAGTCGCCAACAAAAAAAATCCCCCTCTTGCCAAACGTTTTTGGCTGTTCCTTCATAACCCAGTGAGCATCAGGGGGCACCACACCTGTTTTCCAGCAGAGCACAAGACACCCTGACCCACATCTCCGATCATAGCCAAAACAATTACCTCAGACCCAGACCCTCTGCTCAGCTTGAAGCTAACACTTTACAGCCCATTAGAGATCAGAAGATGGTCCGGGATTTAATGGCAATGACACTCTTCATTTGCGCTAACTACTCAAAATGCAGTAAACACAATTAAGCACCTAATCTTCCAACATTAACACAGGGTTCATAATGATCCTCAGCTTTAGCACAGTAAATGAGTCCAACACTCTTATCTAATGTTGTTCTTGCGTGGTCAGGAGTCATCTCTTCTGGTTGGATTTTTCCAGTTTAACATCATTGATCAAAATTCGTGGGAGGTAAAATTGTTTGATGACCTTGTTCACGCAGGAATGTAAATTTCAGTGGGTAAATTCCACTCGAGCCGAGACACTAACATGTCATCACTGAGCGTCTTGGGGGGGGGAATCGATCTAATGCTTCTAAAAATATTTATCTTCTTATAAACAGTTCAGACGCCGGATTGTTCCTTCGGTTTATCAATCCACGCTCTCACATATTCCGCAGCCTCAGACACCTATGTTTTCTTCTCTAATCTAAATATATCTGACACTCTGCAGATCAGCAGGTAACTAATTATAGTCTCAGGAATCTCCTAGAAAAACAAAGAATGGAGCCTTAGACAACCTTTTTATCCAGTTTCCATGATGTTCCAGGTCCTTTGGGTGTGCCCCATTCCTAATAACAACCCCTTTTCCTTTTGTTTTGGCACTATGTTCTGCCTTTTGACTTAAACAAAAGCTGATAATATAGTGTTTACCATTTATATGTCATACATTGCTTATGCAGGAGTGCCCAAACCTGACAAAATGCGAGAGATAATCAGAACCCCTCTCTCAATTTACTCCAGGCATACTCTTTTCTATTCCTGTCCTGGTATTGAATAGAAGTTGTAACCTTTTGCCAAGGTAGCAGCATACTGCACAAGCACTTAGTCCGTCATTTTCTAGATGAATAAACCTCAACAAGTTGTAGACATTGCCTTCAGGAAATCTTCATGCTGATTGGCTATCGTGGCGGGAATGATTTGTGTTAAATTTAGAGCAAATCCTCATCATTGGCACATATCATTTGTTCAATTTGTGCTGCCTCATTTGTGCTCATTTGTCATCTATTAAGAACTTGCTCCAAAATGTTTCTTCATAATGACTTAGCATGTAATCTACTAATTTAAATAATTTGTATTAGCATTTTGGTGTGAACACAACATAGGATTTATGCTGCGTTCAAGTTACCTCGGAAGTCTGATGTCAGAATTGGAAATGATGTCACACTTAAGCATCCCCTTTCGTAGATGTATCTTGAGTTACTAGCGTTTCAGTTACTAAGCTGGAAAAAAGCAAAATTGGAGGCGGAAACAAGATGGGTACATCTACGAAAGGGGATGCTAAAATAACTTTCGTAGATGTAGCCATCTTGTTTCCGCCTCCAATTTAGCTTTTTTCCGACTTGGTAACTGAAACGCCGGTAACTCGGGTGTGACGTCATTTCCAACTCCGACATCTGACTTTCGAGGTAACTCGAACGCAGCATTAATTCAGGGCAGTTGACAGCCACAGTTGCTGTTGCCGTGGGAATAAAACATGGCGGTAAATGCTGCTGCCATTAAAAGTTCAGAAATACATCCTTCTGACCAACCTCTGTTGAGACATACGATGCAGTTCCTCAGTAGCTTTTTAGGACAATAAATCACATTATATGTGAGTGGCCATTCAAAGGTGTATTGTGGGAATTAAAATCAATGCATTAATGCGATGAATTATATGTTCATTGCATGCTTAAGCAAACTTACCCCCCTTAAGTTTGGTGTCAGTGTGGCTCAACATAGACATATAAGGTAAATACACAGACTAATCTGCATAAAGTGTGTTACCTACAAGAGATGCCGGTCCCTTGGCTCTGTAATTGAGGAATGGACCGGAACCCTGACTATAAATCTTACAGATGAGGCTGTTTGAACCCTACACTTTAGTTAATGTTAATAAATTCTGGCGCAGTCCCTAAGGTCAGTGTAATTGCTCTGCATAAATGGGCAAGAGGCTAAAAGTCAGCTGCTGGAGTTGAAAGGAGGAAGAGTTTGCAGGGAAATGATTCAAACTAATGAGCTTGGATGTCAAGACCTTACTGATTCAGGGATCAGCCCTAGTTGTTCTTGAAATAGATACTCTGACTTTATTATTAGGTTTAAGGCTGAAAAGAAATCTGTAAAAAATGACTTAGGTAGAAGACATTATGACTAGTGTTGATTTTGTTTCGGTGTAGAGTGAGTTCATCAAGAACAGTCATCAAGGCAACATAGTTCATACAATATACACAACACTGCACAGCAGTTAACACAGATGGGTCACTTTGTTTAACTGGGTGTTTTTAATATCACATTCACAGGTAAAAGCAGAAAAGAAACTTTATTTTTAACACTGACACTTGTTGGATGTCACTCTGATTCTATCTTTTGGTCAACATGCCATTTTGTTATACCAAACAAGGAAAGTTTGTGAGGAATTACCCTGCTCATATCAAAAGTCATCTGACCCTTGCTATTCTTCTAATTTTGATCGTGAATAACAAACAATAACCCAGTTTTAATGAATGGCTGGCTTTAATTCTTGTATTATGGCTGCCCACCCTTTATTTTTGGAGGGTTATTTGTTATCAGAGCGAGGTTATCTATCTTGCTTTGTCAGGGTTGTTGGCAAAAGGAAGCTACTGTATTTTATATAGTACGATTATAGCCTGTGGTCATTAATGACCTTAACACTGATGACCTGTGCAGCTTGTGACACATTAATAATAATTTTCTTGGACTTGTTGAACGGTCAGTCTGACACAGATAGCTGCTCAGCACTGTTTTTATCTCCTTGAAACAACCTAAAGTAAACTTTGTAACCCAGCAACACTCCAAATAGTACTCAATTGATAAAGAGGAAATGACAATGAGATATTTAGGTGAAACTCTCTATTTTTATTCGTTTAAAACCCAATGACTGTAAAAAAAAACATGGGTGTAGTCTCAGTAACGAGCCTCATGGAGCCAAAACATGTTGGTTGCCATACTTGTAATCCTGACACCAACTAACATCTGACTACTTAAAAAAAACTCAGGCGTGGCATTGGATTGGGCCTTTATCCCACTGACAACCAACTACAACACAACCACTTGTCAGTCAGATTAGCCACGATCGATCGATTTTTCCAAACTTTTTAATACATCTTAAAGAAAACTGAGAAACAATGAGTGACTGAGACTTGGACGATGTTTGTTAGGCTGTAGACATGTTTCATTGTAACTTGTGAATATTACAATTTGCTCCAATGAGGTCTCTGTAGCTTTAAAACCCTCAAGCGGACAACTGAGGAATTGCAGTTTTTGCATTGGGCAATGGCTTTACTTTTTAACTGTAGAGGTTGACTTTTTCCCTTTGACACATGCTCAACATAAACCAGTCAAATGTTATTCAAGACCAATACTGAAAAAGCTTTTCATGGTTTGTAAATTATTTAATTCCTAAAGGTCCCATGGCATGCCAATTTCACACAACTTAAAATAGTCCCCTGGTGTGTTAAAATAATGTCTGTGACGTCATTCGGTCAAAATTTGATTTGGATATATTATTTTAGTGCCCTTTTTATCAGCTAAAAACAGCTCCGCTCAAAATCCTCCGCGCTAATGTTTACACTGGCTCGGTCATGGCTACAAGAACATCGCTCGTACAACCCTACCAGTTTGAGCCAGAGTCTGACCCAGAGGGAGAGGCTCCGGGAGAAACTCTTAGCAGCGTTCAGACCAAACGCGACTTGAAGCGACCTAGTCGACACATCCTATGTATTATTCAAAGCCGCCAGGAGGGTCATGCTTAAGGAGGAAGATATGAATGTAGAAAAAAAATTACAACCAGAGCTCTGCTGCAATGTAAGATTGTGGTGCTCTAAAACTTCTCTGAAGCATTAGCCGGAACGTCCCGTATTTGAGCCAAAAGAGGCGCGTCGCCGCACGGGTAAATGCTAAAGCTACATGCTGCTCTGGAGGGGGATTTTGTCCCCAGCCGCCGGAGTTGTCGGGGAAGAAGCGAGCGGCTAAAATGCGGGAGGATCCGGTAAACCGGCGCGGATCCGGTGTGTTTATCAAAGCGTGGTGGTCGTGCTGAGGCACCGGGGGGAATTAAGGCTAAACAGTAAGTCAAAATAAAACGTTCATACTTACAGTTGCCACATTTGTAGTAGGATCACGGATAGTTGGTACAGATCCATTCTTTATCTTCAGACATCTAGCAAATCCAGCGTTGAACTGTCTCTCGTTGATAAAAATGTCCGAAGTGAAATGGTGCGCACATACATACAGATATTTTGGAGGGGCCGCGGGTACATTCCCATTAAATAAAATCCACCCATTTTCAAAAGAGTTTTGTGCAGCCAACAACAGAGCAAACGCTGCCTCTTTTTCAGATCGTACTTTCGCCATGGTTCTAACCGGTGCTATGCGAGCGAGCGGCCGGGAATAATGGCGGTGTTTTGATAATCTTTTGGGCAGGTCAGTGGGCGGCTCCATGGGCAGTACCATCAACCCGCCAGCACTGAAATGAGGTCATGTCAGTGGAGTTTTCAGAACGGTGTTGTGCCGTAGAATACACCCCTGCCGCAGAATGCACCCCCTGCATTCCATCCGCTCCTTAGCTTCTTAAAGTGGAAGAAAATGATCTCATCTTTTAACTTCAACTTTCGTTCTGTTTTTATGTGTCTCAAAAATGCACATACGAGGCGTGCTTGGGTATATAAATTGTACAGTGAGCTGTCAAGCTAGCGAACATTATATTTTCGGGACAGCAAATATTCCGAATCAGAGGGCTATTTTTTCGGCCTATCTGAATAGCCTGAATGAAATTATTAAAGGCACACGCTTATGAATTCGTCCAATGGTAAGGAAAACTTGGATTATTTTCGCCTTGTTATATACTTTCAACCGCGCTCCCGTCAGAGGGTGCAATCTACGGCAGGGGTGCATTCTACGGCACAACACCGGCTCTGCGCACACAGTTCCTAAATATGGAGATAACTAAAAAACGATTGGATGGAATTTTTTCGAACTTGGGGGGGATTGTAGCGGTTTTCTATCCCTGATATGCACCCCCCTCCCGTTAACAAAGTCAGTTTTTCATGCCATGGCCCCTTTAAAAAGTGAATATTACAATTTGCTCCAATGAGGTCTCTGTAGCTTTAGAAACCTCAAGCGGACAGCTAAGGAATTGCAGTTTTTGCATTGGGCAATGGCTTTACTTTTTAACAGTAGAGGTTGACTTTTTCCCTCTGACACATGATACTCAGCATAAACCAGTCAAATGTTATTCAAGACCAAAACTGAAAAAGTCTTTGATGGTTTGTAAATCATTTAATTCCTAGATTTAATTGCAAACAATGCAACAACAAAATATCAAATGTTGAAGATGAATTTTTAATTGTTTTTTATTTTTAATAATAAATATATACAAATTCTTGATTTGACTCCAGCAACATGATTCAAATGAGTTGGGGAATGGGAATGCAAAATTTGACACTTCATGATATACGCTAAATGTCAATTGATGTTTCATATAAATATTCAAACACTGCAGAAAGATGAAAAACAGCATCTCTGTGAGCTTTCTTCTTTATGTTTAGATGCAACTTGCAAGTACTTTATTGTGGAAGCTATAAGTACAAAACTAAGACCAACAAGAAAGCAACGAGAGATAACAGGAGAGTGAACATGTGAACTTTGATCAAACTTTGTTCCCGTATTTTGCATGAAAGCAGGAGAACCCACCCGATCTACAGAAAGCCTGGGTAAACTCTTCAACTTGAGCGTAATGACTAGACAGTGTGTTACTGTAATGCTCTCTGTGGCTGACTTCCTATAATGCATAAATCTTCTGTCTGCCTGCCGTCCAGTCATGTAACTGTTTGCTCAGCATAGTCACATCACTGCTGCTGCTGTCTATGAGCCCATGAACACACAGTGTGTCATCAGACTGACAGACAGCAAGAGAGGACCACTAAAAGGTCACCCCTCAATTCTCACTCAGATAAGGCTCCTGTACTTTTCCTTAACACATTTACAAGTTTTGGAAAATTTTTAAAGAGGACGATGAACTTTGTGATTTTCCTTACAAACTTTTGAAGTCTGGGAAAAGTTGCAGTTTTTTTGAAACAAGGAAAAGGAAAAAAAGAAATCCATCTGTACATGAAATTTTAATGTTTTGATAAAGTTCACGATAGTCAGTCAAAGTATTTCTTCCCATATAATTTCAAAAATGTAATGTTTGATGGGATAAACCAATCCAGTGTTGGGAATGTATACACAAGTGGTCATAAGCCAATGTTACTGTGACATCTATCTGGTATAAAGATTTTCCCAACAAGTCTAAGCCAAAACGGCAAAAAATACTGGCCAGAAATTAAAGTAAAGTAAAGTAAAGTAAGAAATTAAAGTAAGGACCTCTGTTCATCCCAACTGTAAACTGGACGCAAATGTAATCTAATTAGATCTCACTGTTTGTTACTTAGAGTACGTTTTGATAATAATTTACCGTAGTGAGCCCTTAGAAGAATTTTCTTACACCAGGTTAATATCATTAACTTTCATTCCTGTGAATATGATGCTATTTGCAAAATTATTAGAATGGTTTGACCTCTTTTCTTTTGTTCTTGTTTGTTTTTAAGGGGGATAATTTTTCTACTCACCAATATATCTTGTTGTCCCATCCACAGTTATCCCATCATATTGCAAGTAAAACTGATAGCTGTCAAAAGCTACTGGACTGGTTGGTGGAACCAAAACTACTGTAAGGAACTTTAACTTTGTGTTGATCTTGGAACCTCTGCAGACAAAGACGCATTTTTTTGTTGCTTTTCTTACTTTTTGCTCATCCCTGTACAAAACAGAGGTAACAATCTTTTTAAGATGTAAAAACAATATATATATATATATTGTTGTGAGTTATCCCAATTCCCTCCTTTTGATGGTGTCATATTATATCAGTTGAGTAACAAATACAGTGTCTGATTCCTTAAAGTTAAGATTTTTTGATAAAGACGAAAAATATGCAGTATATGTTTAGAAGAAGAGAGGTCCAGGTGCTAAGAAGACTGAAGAAGACTTTCCCAACAACAGCAGTCATGACCTTTCCAGACTTTTAATGGAGTGTTTTATCTTCCAGACACATTGTGCTCAGAATCAGACACCACGCCTCTGTACATCACTCTATGATAAAGTCACATTATTAATGTGCCTATTTTCACTGGAAGACAGGAGTGGGAGGTGAAAGTGACGTGAAGAAACCAGACATAATACCCTGTTTGTGTTCTGTCCACCAAGTTTCTGTTGAACTGATGCAGATTAAGTGTCACAGGTTTCTGTGTTTTACAAATAACATCCATAACCGTTTATACAAAGTTTTAAGATAGATGGTTTTCACTTTGTTATCAGATGTCTTGTTCTTCCTGTTATGAATCTGAATCTCTTTCATATCACATCAATTTATGAATGTAATATGTTGTGTGCTGCTTTTTACAGCTTCAAGCAGTGCTGGAGATACTGCTTAAATTTTTCTCATATTGCAAAGTCATCATCTTAAAACACTCGTAAAACTAAAAGACTTAAGACAGTTTCGAGTGTTGGGCCTATTAAAGACCCACTCCAATAAAAATGGGCCAGACTCTGAGAAGTAGAGAGACGATAGAGGAACAAACGTGTGCGGTAGCAGATTGCAATGCTAATTATGATATTAGCTTTCACCATGCCTCCAAAGACATTAGTATCCGAGAGCTGAATAACTCCTATATAATACTCATTGTAATCTGCCGTGTCCTGAAGGCAATATGCTGGTTGTTCAAGGTCAGTAATGAGGATTACAATCATGAGTCACGTTTTAATCTGCTTTTCAGGATTGCTTGGCATTAACTTATCTAACGTTTGAGTGAAACCATGATACAGCTTTGTACAATCAGCCTTTGTGTCCACAGAGATGAGCCAATTGTTTTTCCCCCTGTTTCCTACAGGATTACACAGGGAAGGCGTGGGTGGCTCTATTATCAGTAATGTGGCTTCACCCTTTGTGCTAAATTTAACCCACTTTTTTGTTTTGTCGTTTTGCTTTTTTCCTACATATGACATAATACCTAAAATGGTCAGAAACTCCCTCAGTGAAAGACGTCAAGCCTCTGTCTATTATCACGCTTGATTGTTAATTGTGAATTGCACTTTTTTCAAATAAATGTCTGGTTTGGGGATATTTCTGGCATAAATTAGGCCGAAACTG